AATATATAAACAAAAGCTCAAATATTATACGTAAAATTAAAGAATTTGTCATATAACTGTAGAGGTGAGGATTAGCAAAATTGGCAGAACAAAGTGATTAGAAACGCTGTAAATATTAATAAACTTAAAAATATAAACTTTCATGAATATATTGCTTGAACCCAAATTACATATATAAATGTTTTATATGATGAAATGCAACCTTAAAAATAGCATAAACACCTACAGTGGATGTAAATATTTAGTGACAAAGGTTGTGTGAATAAATTACTGGCAGGAAATTTTTTAAGTGAGGAAGTTTCAGAAAGAATGAAAACAAACAGATAAGTTAAAGGTTATGTTGATGTTTTTATTCATATCCTGCTTTGTAATCCAGGGTTGAATCAGTGGAAGTTTTTTAAAAGACCCGCCCTCTCCTTTAAAAAAAAAAAAAAATGAGCGTGCGAGACCATAAACGACCCCATTTCTCCTTTTGCACGCTCTTTTTAAAAGTTGCTGTTAGCTCATAAAAGCTAACTGTGCCCGAACGTCCGCCCTAACCGCTAAATCCCTCGACCACTATATTGAGCGGGGACTATATAGTGGACTTTATAGAGAACTCGGTTAACTGACAGATGATCACTACTTTTTGCTCAGTTTTTCACGTAACTCCTCCTCTACTGTGTAGTGCATGCGCCATCTTTGTTAATAGTCGCCGTGTCGGGTAGTGGCAGCTTATGGCGACAGTGGCCCGCTGTGACAGCAAACCCCATAATGCATTGTGAGGAGAGCTCTCCGTGCAAAGCATTCTGGGATATATCTGCCTCTTCTGAGGCCTTTCTTTTCTTATACACTGCATAGACACTTTTTCCCTTACGACCCTCGGCCATTTTTAAAGAACCGCAGTGAGAAAGTCGAGCTTCAATGACTGAAACCGTAGCTCACCACAAATGTATAACTGAAAGTGCGCATGAGCACAAAATATAGCTAACTGTTTACGTAAGGCATATAGGATGGCCTTATGTAAACATATCACCGGAATGATTGACAATTAGGAGGACCAATTATTTAGATGATCAACCCGGAAATAAAAGGTCATCCTCTATACCTTTAAGTCGAGTGTCCCTTAAAATTTGAATGTGACGTAAAGGACAGTGGCCCCGCACCCAGTCATATTGACACAGGGTTATAATATTGATCCTTATTTTGAAAGATGTATTAGAAACTTTAAAGCCCATTACTGATGGGCATGTGGGTGAAAAAACCCCCGACATTTTTCACATGAAAGTTTTCCCTGCAGGAAAGCGGCCGAGAAAAGAGTTTCCGTTACTGGCCGAGACTCGGCTCCCGTCACAACACGGTGACCTACGGACGGTTCAGGATAACCACGCGCTTCCGAACAGAATCGGGCTGCTATGCCACCACAGGGCTGAAGATCAAAAACCTGGTGAAAGAACAAGAGAGGACGGTCTGGCACCTTCAGTACACAGACTGGCCTGACCATGGCTGTCCAGAGGACTTTAAAGGCTTCCTCAGTGAGTCTGTCAACTATAGTCACATCCTATGTGTGATTTACTTAAAAGAATTCAATCAAATATTTATAACCGTTGCTTTGTCTGAATACGTCTCCAGCGTACCTAGAGGAGATTCAGTCTGTGAGGAGACATACAAACGCCATCAGTGACCCAAAGAACACCAACCCAGTGCTGGTCCACTGCAGTGCAGGAGTGGGTCGTTCAGGGGTTGTCATCCTTTCTGAGATCATGATAGCTTGTCTGGAGCACAATGAGGTAACATGACTGAGAAGAAGGAAAACCAGCTATCTTTTTTTTTTTTTTGGTCTTTATGTACCACTAAAAAATGCGTGTTTTTCAGGTGCTGACAGTCCCAGAAGTCCTGAGGCTGCTGCGTGATCAGAGGATGATGATGGTTCAGACACTGTCGCAGTATACTTTCGTCTACAAGGTCCTCATCGAGTACCTCCGCAATTCCCGGCTCATCTGATGGGCGACCCATCGCGGAATTCTGCAGAGGGGTTTTATGGAAAACTGCTCCTAGCTGTTAAAGTGTGGATGCCAAAACCTGGACCCTATTTTTGCCAAGTATTAAATAGGTTTTATTCTAAGAAGTGAAATGACAATTTAGGAGACGAAAACGCCACATGAAGAAATTAAGACTGTGACCTGCCTCTTAACAGTATTACCTGAAGAGATTATTTTTTTTACATACACATTGTTTAATAAAGCCCAGCACTTTGATAGTACCATGTAAGTACATGATGAAGCAATACTAAGCTACAGAGGACAAACGTTCTATTGTACATGTCACTGAAACGGTCATGTTTATTTGATGAAGGATTAATTACAAATGGATGCGTCTGAATAATAATAAAAAAAAGTCTTTAAAAATATAATCTATTTAATTTGACTCTAAAAATGAAACTTCTATATGGAAACATTTCACTGTGATACATTTCAAGTATTTATTAGCTAACAGGTCAAATAAAATTCAGTTCCTTTGAAAATTGTAATATTACCTAACGGCAACAAAAGCTGGCGTTCAAAAAAAAAAACAATTCCCACCTACTTTAGATTTTATGCAGTCTGGTCCTTAAGCATTGATTAGTGGAGAGGATCAGTCTGTGGCTCCGACGTATTCCGGAAGCCCAGGTTGCTATGGTAACAGCCTTAAGCTTTCTCCTCTTCCTCTTAACATTCACCCCATAATTTCCTGCAGGGCGATTTGCTGCCCAAACATGCAGATACCAGTAGTTTGGACAAAACCAAAGTTCTATCAATTGAAAAAGATCTGGATGCTTGATTTCAAAATAAGATGCAAAATGTGATTTGCCTTTTTCAGACAAACGATACAGTGTATGTTCATCATTGTTGCTTTTGCATCTTTTTTGGTCAAATTTCTTTTAAAATACTCTGAAAAACTGCAGCGATGAGTGCACCAATGATGGTCTGCTGGACAGCTTTCAAGTCAGCAGTCTTTGGCATGACTGTAGGTCATTACAAACATTCTTGTAATTAAAAACAAAACCCAAGTGGTTTAGGTGATATAACTTTTGGATCAAACTGAAACTTTCTTAGCTGTAATCAAAAATCACTTCAAATATATCACGGTGGAATTAATCTGTATGAGTTTCATTTTTTGATTTGAAATTTTTGGGGTTGGGTTTCACTGTAAGGATGTACTGTTGCACAAAGGAGGGACTTCTCTGCTGTCTGTTGGTTAGTTTTAAGCTAAGGTTGTTTCCCAAAGTTATTTTCATAAAAAAACAAAACATCTAATGCATCTGAAAAGTTCAACAAACGGACTGGTCTTTGTGCAACACTGGATGAAAGCAGATTGAAAAATATAGAAGAGGGATGGGGGGGGATATTTATTTTTTTAAAAGTCTGGTTTTTGGGTTTAAAGCGATTTTTTTTTTTTTTTGTATTTAAAGACTTACCGTTGATTTGTGTTGCTGTAACTGAAATAAACGATATTCTTTCTAAGCTGTAATGTTTTAAGTGCCTCTACAGTGGGCACCGCAGAGCGTGTCGGCTTCAGAAAGTGATGGACGTGCTTCTAATTAAGTGTAATTTATTGAAGTGATAAAGTTTTTGTAAAGGCGATTTGAATGAAATTGGTGATTTATTTTTCTTGTTCCTGTAAAAATCAGCCTGTGCAGCGGCCTGTCTGTTTCCAGCACAGACGACAAAGGACTCCTCCCACATTACGCTGACTGCTAATGATAGCAAAAAGAAATCAGCATTTTGGCTGCACAGAAACAATGTTAATAGCTCTACTTTTTTTTTTCCCTTTAATGATGGTGCCAACTTGTTCAGACGGCTTGGTTGATGTTGACAAGTATTTTTAAGACGTGAAGAAAAACACAGATTGATTTTCTCAACCTAAAAACGTTTCTCCATGTACAGGTGTAAATCTTGAATATTGTAAAAATGTTTATTAACTGAATGTTACTGAGGAAAGCATTAAAAAAAAGATTTTTGTATTTAGCCATTTTTTTTCAGCCTTATTTTATGCGGTTGTAATAATGCATTGAAGAATCATTAATAAAAGAGGCCTTTATTAATTTAAATCCACTATGAGGGTTCCTATTACAACATGTAGGCCTACTTTTTGTAGCATCTTCACAATAATACAAATTCATAAAGCAGTCGTGAAAAAAAAAAAAAAATTCCCTTAATGCACAGCTTTTAAGCTTTAGATGTAAAACTAATGGTTCTTACAGGTTTCAGTCTAATTCATCTATGACATATCAGCAGTGACTGTATTTACAGTCCAGGTCAGAAGTTTGCATTCTCATGTTTTTTAGGCTTTTGATTACTTATTTAATAAAAAAAAGAAATGCACTTTTTCCTCCCATAAATTACCAAATTAAAATGAACCACATGCTTTTTGTCACTACTGCCTTGTAGAAACAATTCCTAGATGTGTAGTCCCAAAAGTTGAATGTGATTTTAATTAAAAAATCAAAATGTCCTGTCAGGAAGACTACTAAGTTAGTTAAAACCATCTACCAAGGCCCAAGTCTGCCATCTAGTGGAAGAAACTGCAACAACTAGTGAGGAATATTTATAATAAACACAAAGCTCAGCTGAAGTTTCTAGAGATGGACAACCTCTTGAAGAAACACCAGACATCAGGAGACTTTTTTTTCTGGTTGACAATGACAAAATATGTTTGGAGGGGTCAAAGTGAGGTTTACCAGCCCCAACTTTCAAGCACTGCTGCATCATGCTGCAAAAATACAGGTTTGGTTCATTACACAAATAAGATTTTCTTAAACCTCTACTTTAGCTTAAACCAACTATTACCCAACTAATTAAATGCATATCATTTTCAGATTTTTTTTGTTTTGATCCAGAGATACAGTTGGCTAACATTAAGCTTTAGAGGAGTCCAGAATGCAAAGCGGCTGAAAATGTGTTGCTATGTGTTAAATCTGATGATCGAGTCTACCAATAGGGGGGTTATATGTTCAAACAAAGTTACAGCAGAAGCTGAAGTTGATGTTCATAAAAACTTTAAGGGTGGAATTTAATTGCCAAGATGTATAAACAAATAATAAAGGGGGTGTAAAAACATATTCATGGCCTGTATGGAACTACGGGACAGAGAAAATCTGCAGTAATTTCAAACTTCTACAACTAATTATGATAAGTTTTTTTTTATTTTTTTTTATATAGATTGTGGTTCATGTGCATCTTTAAAAGCCTAACCCTATATAAATCTTAGGTTATGATGAGTTTCTGCATCCTTTTAACCAGCACTACTGATTATGCTTCTATAACACCTCAGGCTCTCACAGTTTAAATCGTCAAATTGTTTTCCTTTAAAGTAAAACAATTAACATCTTAGTCTTGCAGCATGAAAGAGGACAAAAGTGTATCTCTAAAGCACCAAGTCACTAAACTTTTAACCTGCTGCTGTTAAAAGTCAACCTTCCACACTGTTTCTCATCAGGAATCTCGTAACGACCACAGATTTGTCCTTAAAGCATAAATAAAAAGCTAATAAAAAACACTCCGGTTTGAAAAAAATGAAACCATAAAATCAAGGCGAAGGGAAGGTTTCCTCATCTGCCATCAGAGGAGAGTTTTCCTCCAGTGGATAAAAATTGAGCTCAGCTCATATTGAACTGATAGGCTGTGTCCGAACATTCGCCCTAATCACTATATAGGAAACTATATAGTGTTACGCCATTTTAGATAAGTGTCCGAAAGTCTAGTGGATGAAAAAGAAGTGGATTCAAAATTTACCACAATGCACCTTGAAAAGCAGTGATCATCCTTTGTCACTAGACGAGCAGATTTATCCTGGATTGCTTTGCGAGGAGCGCTTTCCTCGCAAAGCATTATGGGGTTTGTTGTCACAGCAGAAACAACAACATGCAGGGAGGAGGAGTCACGTGAACAACGAGGAGCAAAAAGCAGCGATCATCTGTCCAAACGGTCAGTTAGCTGAGTTCCCTATAATGTCCACTATATAGTCTATATAGTGATGGAGGGATGTAGGGGTTAGAACCGACGTTCGGACACAGCCATAGTGTCCAAACCTCTAGTCCAAAATTGAGTCCATCTAGTCTGAAAATTAATGTTTCTATACATAATCTTGTGTAGAAAACTACATGAGGCTTGACTGCACAGGTTAATACTGGTATCGTCCTCTCTTCCCTCCATGTCCTCCATAATCTCCATGTCTGTTTTGTCCTCCTTGGTTCCATCCGCCTCCCTTCCAACCTCCACCGCCTCCTCTGCCTCCTTGACCCCAGCTGCCTCCTCCTCGCCCTCCTCCACCACTGTGCCCTCCCCTTCCTCCTCCATCTTGCCTCTTCTGCCAAGGGGGCATCTCTGGTGGCGGGGGTTCTATCTCAGAGGGGCGTCCACCTCGGTCCGGTACTCTTCCCATCAACACCTGTGAAAACAACAGAAACAATGATCGTCTCCGAAAGCAGGATATTCAAGTTAAAGCCTTATTTGTTATATGTGGAAGTGCTAATCAGTTTCCTTCACCTTGTTGACAGCACAAACAGTCTTCTCCCGGCTAGAACCGCTGCTGGTCTTCACCACGTTGCAGATGTCCTCCCTGGCAGCCAGAAGCTCAGCCATGTCCACTGAGGGCTGAGGCTGCAGAGCGTGCCTCTTGGGCTGGTAGGCTCTGGCCATGCTGTCCACCTTCACCTGGATAAACAAAAGCTCAATTTGAAGCAAAGGTTGTGTTTTCCGCTCTTTGGTTTGGAAACAAGTTTGACAACTTGCCTTGGCTCTGTCCGACCAGCCGAAGGACTGGACAGTGACGTCCAGCCGCTTGATGAGCATCCGGCGGCGGCATTCGTACTCCGACGACAGAACCTTGTTGATGTCATGTAGCTTCTCCTACGGAGATACTTCAGTGAAAATTGAGCTCTTCTGGAATGTCAAGCTCACAGAAACACGTTTCCTCACCCACTGGTCACTGCTGAGAGCCTTCTTCAGCACTGGCTTTCCAACGGAGCCATTAGGAAGATCTTGAAGCAAATTTTCCACCTGAGATAACCATTTTGAAACATTCAGCATACGCAGCAAAAAAAAAAAACAAACAGCATTTTTATTCTTAAAAAGAAGCAGCTCCTAAACTTCCACATGAATATTTTGTGTCTTAAGGAGGAAAACCTTCTATAGATGAAAAGGTTCTTAAAAAGTCATTCAGGCTCTGAAGCAACAGAACAACAAGTCATATAAAAAAGCTAAAATTAGCCTGTTTTATGTTCAGCTAAATGGAAAAACTAAAGCTTAGAAAAAAAAAAGAAGAAGCTTTGTCAATAAAAGATAAAATGGGATGTTTTTTGTGATGGAGTGTCAAATTGGTATTTATTTTCCTCCACATAATGTGTCCAAGTGCGCGGCTATTAACCTTACACTGCAAGCTGGATTGTTGTGGGATCTGAGTTTTCAGTCTCACAAAAAAATCCATCTTACAGAACTCCTGCTAATACATCCATCTCATAGCAACCAGCGAGTTGGACCAAGGACATGCCAGCAGTGTTTTTATGGGCGGGGCTAGTGGGATTGATGACTGTCAGAAGGGCCTCGCCATGGCATTACAAACATGGCTGTGCTGGAGGACTCGCCTGCCGATACACAATTGACTCGTTTTTAGTAAAATAGCGACAATTTCTCATTTCGAAAATGGAGTAAGGAGAAGCACTATGTGCATTTGAGGATGGGAAACGTCCATTTCACTGCTACGATTGGCTGAAAGCGTATTATAGAAGGCGGGTACTAGCTGGCATGTTATCCAATCAGCTTAAAGTATTGCACTAAACCTCCCTCAATTTCACAGACAGTGAATGGCAGCCATCCCAGATTGATAAAACTCGCTTCTTCACACATCGATCCGGCTACTGCCAGGTTAGGTGGCTACTGGTGCAAATGCTTAACGGCTAAAAGAAATACAAATATAAGCCAAATGAAAGAAAAACAGCCCATAACACCAGGCAAGTCCTGAGCACCCTCATATTAACCATCTGACTGGCCTCACCTTGTTTTGTAGTTGAGAAAAAACCTCTGCTACCCCTTTTCCTGCAGGCTCCAGTAGCTTCAGTGTTTTGCAGATTGCTGAAAGCTCCTGCTGACCCAGACTCTCAACCTGGTGATTATCACAGCCTCGCCCGCCGCTCACAATTATAGCCGCCTGAAGGTCAGAGCTCAAAAACACTAAAGAAAAGCAGACACCCGTTTTATTTGCATTGTTCACTCACGGGGTGCATCAAAGAAGGTGGCTACTTACAGATAATTTTCAGATGGTCTTTTGTAGTCAGCGTGCTTCCCCGGAGAACACCAGAAACCGCTCCTTCAAAGGGACACTGCAGCTCCTTCAGCAAACCACTCATCTCCACCCGCAGGCTGTCCAAGTCATCTGAAGAGTCGGAAGGTTTAAAAAATTGTAAACTCATTAAAAATACTTTAAAAAGTTAATTCACATGCCTTTTACATTTGATCATGTTACGACAACAAACATATACATTTATTATTGCAGGAATCTATTTGATCGACCAACATGCAGTAGCATACAGCTTTAGGGGAAATCTGGATCACCATCTCCTAAAACTAACCCATAAATAAAACTGTAAAAAGTCTCAGTACATATGTGTTCTCGCACCTTTGAGTTAATTTTTTGATTAATCAAGTTTGGCTTGAATCCCATCCTATCTGAGTGTGTCTCTACTAGCTTTGCATATCTACAGGTGGACATTTTCCTACATTCCTTAGCAAAACACTTTCATTAGAGTGACTGAAGTGCTTGCAAACAGCGATTTTGAAATATTGGTTATCTGGATTTTGTTCTCAAAACCATGATGCTGCCACCACCATGTTTTACCAAGCAGTGGAAATGTTATGCATGTAGACTACAAAGTGTATTCATCATTAGAATGAGTCAAAATTGGTCAAATGGACATTAGAGTAAAGGGTTATAAAAACAGCTGCGACACTTTCAGACTGTTGGATTCTTCTGAGCAATGATAATTAATTTTTAAATTAAACTTTCTTGATCTCACATTGGAGAAATTTACTTTTGCATTTAACTCATCCCCTTGGGGAGCAGTGGGCTGCCATCGTGGGGCGCCCAGGGAGCAGTGTGGGGTGAAGGGTCTTGCTCAGAGACCCGAAGTGACAGTCTGTGGGAGTGGGGCTCTAGAACCTCAGGATTCCAAGCGCATAACCACTAGGCCTCCACCCCCCCATAAACTACTCATAAACCCCCATAAACTGCTTTGGTGAGTTAATCTGTGCATGTCACTGTGGGTCCAAAACCTTTTTTTTAAGTTTGTTTTTAGGTTTATATAGTTTACCTGCTCCAGATGTAATGCTTTCCTCCAGACCACACAGGAGCTTCAGTCTAGATGTCAACCACCGACAGAGGTCCACATAATCCCGTGAGGAAAGGCCTCCCTCTGCGGCTCCAACCAGCGCCTTCTCCTCCAGCAGAGGACCGTCATAACTGCCAGACAACCGTCAGGAATAAAACACAGACACATGTCAGACTTTTTCAAACGTACACCCCGTAGCCCGTTACTTCAGCCGCGCTTAGTGCAAACAGTACCACCGACTGAGTGTCCGACCTGAGCCGACCACTTACCCTACGTGCTAACAGGGGTTTCACTTACCCGAGCTGCTCCAATGAGTCCAAGATGTCACACTCCATCTCTAATCTGTCGCTTTACTAAAACATGGCGAAGTTAGGGGCGCCTGTTTGTGAACATCAACACGATTCGAAGCCATTCATTTCCACCATAACGTCGTGCACACGATACGTTCCGTAAGCTTCATGTGGCGGAGTGAAACAAGGACGGTAGAAAAGGTTCCGCCACCAGGATTCTTCTTCTTGTCTTGTTTTGCTGCCTTTAATGGCGGATGGCAAACAACTTTTCGGTGTGCATTACCGCCATCAACTGGTGAGGAGTGTGGATCAGAATGCCCCTGTTCATAAAGATACGTGTATTTTTTTTCTTTTTTATCTATATACCGGTATCTATAATATAACTTTACAATACTAAATCCTCCTAATTATTCCTGTTAATATTAAACATCTAAATAAATATTGATACTTTTTTTTTTTTACTTTTTCTGCAGAATATCTATCAAATCAAATCAAATTTCTTCTTATTTAGATCTCTAACCAAATTCTTTCTTCATACTTCTTACATCACTACATGTTCTACTGTTTCGTCTTGATTATTATGTGTCTATATGACCATTTTAAACAAAATGACAACTTCCACAACTAGAACAAAATGAATGTCTAGAAATTAATTTCAGATCTCCAAATTCCTAATATTACTGGTCAGCATTTGTATTATTTTAATCATGAAAAAATATTTCACAGATATACATACATTTTCAATCATGTATAAATGTCAGAACGGACACTTAAAATGTGTAAAAAAATTCTAGATGTATAAAACTTAATTTTTACTAGTATAATTTTTTCTTTCTAAAATTCAGTTTCTGCTACAAAAATGCCATTTAAAAATAAATTATTGAAGATAGGTCTAGGAGTGTGATTATGATCAGGAAAAATCTTATTTTAGTGATCTACAAATGGAACAACAGGGAGGAGTGCCGTTAATAAATGTAAAAACTTCATATAACTGTATGCATTAACTCGAGCAACAATCTTGTACTTCGCCACCTTCCTCTCCTTTTTAGCTGTAGTGCTGTTTCTCTGTCTTTTAAACACATTCTCCTTTTTTATTTTTTTGCATTTCTGCATTAAAATGGGGTGAAATAGGCACTTCCTGTTGCCTGTTGTCATGGTGGCTCGTCAAATTGGGGCTCCACTAATAATGGCTTTTCATACTTGTTGCACACGCGTTTAACTCTGAGTGGACCTAGTTAAAATATATTGAACTAATTGATAGCAGCCATTGTGAAACTGAACACTCAGATTCCCAACCTTTGGCTAGATTTATTTAGAGTTGCGGATTTGAATCTGGATTTGTTAAACCTGCTTCATGAAACGGACCCCAGGTCAGAACACAAACATATGCAATAAAAAGTACAAAAAGATTAAAATTCACCATTTTATTATGATAATGTTATTTGATATGTCAAATTACAAGTGTATGATGTAACATAAAAACAGTTACAAACATATGTATGCATATTTACATTATATATTTATGAAAAGTAACAAGCTACATCTGTATAAAGAAAATACAACTATGACATGAGTTATTGGTTCTCTAAATTATACATCAGATACTTGGTATTCTCAAACCATGATAATACCTAGACATGTAGAAACCAATTAAACCCGGGATGAGTGATGTTAAATCGTAAGATGGTAACTAAGATGGACGTGAGGCACTTTTTTTTTGAGGTTGTCAGGATGCGAAAGCTGATGGCACAAGGAAACTCAAAGGAAACACAAATGTTTGGGAAAAATGCAGAAAGAGAAAGGAAAAAAAAAAAAAAAACAGGCAGTGTTTTACAGAATCGTTAAGAGTAGTACCATTTATACTGCAAGTTTAAAAAAAACAAAAAAAACACAAATGTCTTCCACTATTTAGAACTAATCACAAATGTTACACCAAGCGCTGTAAAGAAAAGAAAAAAAAAAGCTTACACATTATCAGTGCACCAAAGCATCGGAGAATCGAAAACAAAACCACCCCACTGCTGTGAAAAGCAATCTTTTTTTTCTTTAAACAATACACTGAAGAGAAAACGAGTTTATATAGCTTCTTTCTTTCTTCTTTCTTTTTAAAAAACTACACAATGTCAAGAATGTACACCTGGATGCATTCCCAAAGATATGCACAATTTCCAAGATCGAAAGAGGATAAAAGACTAGCAGCAAAGTGGTTAAAACTGAAGGCTTATACACCGCAGTTAAAAAAAATAATTAAAATTAATATATATATATATAAATATATATTAAAAGCGGACAGACACATGTTGCATATATATATATATATATATATATATTACAGTACAGGACATGAAGTTGCACTGCGCTGGTTAATGCAGAATGAGGAAAGGTTATTTCAGCATTCTCTACACTCTTTGTATAAATGAAAAAAAAGTCCTTTTTTTTAAATAAATTTATTTTGCTTCTCAGCCAGCAAGTTTTAATCAGGTGCATCAAACCTCCGTAATGCATGGCGACCAAATTACGATGGGGGCGGGGGGGGAATAATGACAAGCAACCAATCGTTTGGTTAACACACCAACCTCCTCTGCACACAAACACCACACAACCAGGAACCTGAGCACACACATACACACACACACGGACGCACATATACAGGTGATACTCACACTCCCCACACAGAGCAATCAGACATAGAACAAAAATAAAAAAAACACGGCTGTTTATGCTGTTGGAGAGTTAATCTTAACAGTCGTTCATAGCTGATTCCTCTGTCAACGCAATAAAATTAGTGATTGTATCCAGCAGCTTATACGAATATTTATATATTTATAAAGCAAACTTCAAAAACAAGTGGACCCCCACTACTGTACCATGTTAGCATTAGCCTTCTTTCTATCGTACAAAACTAGAGAGGGACTCTATTAGAAGTTCAATAGTCATATCCATCACAAAGCCCTCTACTTTTTAATGTGAAATAATACTAAAAGGTGATCTATGTACAGACTGCTGTCAGTAGAAGCTACAGTATAGGCTGACAGCAACCATAAATACAACTCTATCTTTAAAAAATTCCAAAATAAAACAAGGGATTATTGTCAGTCCTTAAATATAGTGTTAAGTATTTACACGTGTTTAGTTTGGAACCAGGAGAATGTAGCTTTTAAGGGTCCCCTGGTTCCGTCCCGTCTCTGACTCAAGTCTGCTGAGAGGACAGCGTGTTCCCCTCCACAATGTTTGCATAGAAAGAAAAGGGACCATTGGTTGGCTTGGAAACGGGGAGAGTCAGGTTTTGGACCAGCAGCATCTTTAGCTGCAGCTGGATGTATCAAACCCTGTTTTCGGATTAAGAATATTAGCGTTAGTGAGAAATTTAAAATCAAGGAGACATAAACATCCAAGCTGTTTTAACCCATTCAATTCTTCCCATTCTGGATGGAAAACAAGGTTCCGTTGTCATAAGGCGCTACCCAAGAGCACCCCATAGGAATATTTTAATAGCTACATGCTTCCTTTTCTGGTCTGGGTCATCTGTAGTCTGTAAGGCTGCAGCCAGCTTGATCAAAAAGGCCAAGGGAATGAAAAAACAAAACAAAAACAACCTGATTCTGTCCACCTATAACCAAATCTACCTAATAGCACATCCTAAATGAACTCGTATGCAGCTTTATTTGTTTATTTGTGTAGAAACAAAAAACTGTACTGTAGTTTTTTTTTTTCAAATAAGGCAAAGATACTTTTTTCCCTTTAAGGCGAAAATTAGGAATTCACATAAATGAGTATTTATAACCGTATTATTACAGTCAGTTATTTAAGCAGAATAGGAATCACTTTTTAAATAATATAACCAGATTATTATAGTTTGTTTTGTTTCCTTGTTAATGGATAAAAAAAGTTTTCTAGATTGTGGACAGAAGCAGGAAACGGCCTCCAGCTGCTCTCATTTCTACTGTGGAACTGAGATGGTGTCTGTTCCATCCCTTTCTCATTTCTTAGTTTGCTTTTGAACTCGAGCAGACAAACGTGCTTTACACTCAAAGGCAAGACAGACAGAAGAACAAAAATAGATTGAACGGACAAACAAAAATGTGGAGCTGGTGCTGCAACCAAATGTTTGGAGAGCGGTGCTTTAAGGAGGGCTTCGCCCAGTCCGATCCGAGTGCTTAACTAACATGTTGCCTAAATCTAACATCTAATAAAAATATCCTCAGTTTAAGTGCCTCATAATTGAATGAAGGAGCGCTGACTCCTTTTATTCACCAAAGTCAAAACTTGCTGGTTGAGCAACATTTCAACCTTTAATTTAAATCTAATGTGAGCAGGAAGAGAAGATGCGAAAATAAAACAAAAAACAAATCTTTACAGCTGTAAATACAAGAGGTAAAACATGTATCTGGAGTAGATTCTAACTGGATGGCTGGGAAAGAAAAAGCTGTTTAAGGGACCTAAACATGGTAGATTGGTACCATTTCACCCTTTCACATCGTGGAAACAATCGTTCGAATACGGAATGCAATCATATCTTATAAATAATCTCAGGTCAGGACACCTCGTACCAAAACACAATGAAAGCTTTGACTGATTTGTGGCCGTAAAACACTGAAAAGTTACACCTAAACATGGACATGCCACAAGATTTTCTCACCTTTACTTTTAGGGGATAAATACTATTTAGTGCATTTTTTTTTCTTTTTTTTGCTGGCTAGTAATTACATTGTCTTTAAATCCTTGAACCATGAAGGAAAGGCCACTGTTACCCGACTGCAAATCCACAAAAAGCAACAACACATCCCTTTTAGCATACTGAAAACAGCAAGTACGTCTTATTTTGTCCTCCACGTAAAACAGTTGAAGTTGTTGCCATCTGTACAAAATTCATTTTTCTCCTTCATAGTTACATGTTGTGGCCCGACTGTCAATTTATGTTGTGAATATGAAAGAGCTGTGTGTGTGTATTAACATCAAAGTCTGTTAATCATGAGGTCTTCTCCTTCTCTCTGCCTCAGCTTTAAGCTCCTGTACCCAACTTGTTGCTCAGAACTCCCACAAAGCATCATGGTTTATCCTCCACCGCTGCTTGTCGGCGACAAACACTAACTGAAAACTCCAAAAGCCCTCAGAGCTTGGGGGGGTGGGGTCAACAATGCATCGCCCCCTTCTGAGAGAGGAATGAAAAAAGGATGCCGGCTAGTAATTTTCCACTTGTATCCACTGCCTTTTTTAAGCTAG